CCCACATCTATATTTATTACAGGCAGACAAATCTAGGTTTCCAGGAGGAAAGTTACTTATCATCCTTGACACATGTCCTACCAGTCTTGCTTAGCAATCAGACAAGGTTTGTAATTGCTTCTTCAGGCCTTTCTGGTGTGCCACAATTTTCAGCCTTCTGCACACTGACTTCGGACCAAAAGATTCTATTCTATCAATGCCCTATTAAATTAACCTCAGATGGCTGATAGCTATGCTGGGTGCCAATGGAACATGGTGCTATGAGTTAATGAATCAACCCTCTGAAAGCAAGATACACTCTCCTTTTAAATTATGTTCCGGTTTGTAGGGGATTTCAGGTTCTTCAAGTCCAACTCCTGTGCCGTCATGTGTGCATCCATTTAACAAATATCCACTGAGGAGCCACCCTATGGCAGATCAGGTTCGGCTCTCGAGGCTTTACAATGCAACTGGGAATGTACATACTGAATATAAACTAATAAATTATCCTGAGTGAGAGGTTATGAATGGAATAGGCATGTAAGAGGAAGGAGTTACTCTGGAAGGGCAGAGGATTGGCTGTTTCACACAGACCAAAGAAGAGCAAAAGAGGCTCTTTCAGGAGGTGACTTTGAGCTAAGATTTAGGTAAAGACACAAAGCTACATGAAAGAAAACAATAAAATTTGCAGGCAATGATAACCACTTGTACAAAGGCCCTGAGATGGGAATCAAAGTGATATGTGTGGCAAAAGCAAGTAGTGTGAGCAAATGAGACTCACTGGAGCTGAAGAAGGGGGCAGGGTCCACCACTGAGGTTGAAGAAATCACTTAGGGCCACAGCATTATAAACAAGCAGAAAGGAGAACAGATGTCACAGATGAGTGGCATGCAGTGCTGGACCAGACAGATGTTCCTAGGCACAGTCACATTTGAATGGTAAGGAGAGAGATGAAACTGGGCAAGATCTCAAAGCGAAATGATTTCAGGAACCAGCACCGTTAAATGTTGAGCTCTCATTCTGTAGTTGGGGTGGCCACGTTAATGCACAGTCACTCTAAAGTAACCCTGCAAAGACACGCAGACACATCATAAATGAAGGAAGCAGGTGCATGTAAGAGAGTCGTGGGAACTCTACTGACCTACAGCACGAGTGACAGGCCCAACAGCCTTCAGTCTCACTACTTTGCAGACAAAAATGAAGCACACCATTAAAAAATACTTCGCAGGCACTAATAAAAGACACACGAGAAAGCAAACAGAGCCCACGGATCATCAATATGCCGAGCTGGAGAGAAAGCAGAAAGTGGCCAGGAATGAGAAAAATCAATAGAATAGGGTCTCATAAAAGTCAAGAAAGAGTTATATCCTGTGTTTCTAAGAACTAAGCAAAAAGAATATGTTTTATTAGGCAGTAGCCAAAATGGCATAATACTAATAACAAAAAGCCCTATTTGTTATAGAACTTGCATAGCCTAAAATGATTGAAAGAGCCAGGTACGGAAAGACGGGAACTACAGAACTATGTGGTCCCTGCAATGACCAAATGTACACATCCTCTTGAAAAATCATGACCTGAAGGATCCAGGGATGGTTTTCAGAAGTCATTCCAACTGTAGAAGAAGCTTTTCTCAATTCTATCTACACATTTGTGATGCTGACATCTGTCTCCTTGTAGCCTGACAGTCCCAGATATCTGCTCCAGAGCCACACAGAGCATATTTAAAACCACAATGAACATGTTTAATGCCATACAGAACATGTTCAATATGTTTGGTGCCCTTTTAACCAGCGAGCACTTGAGATATTTAGAAATAGTGACTGTTGCTATCTCCCCTTCCTCCATATAAATATCTTCACTGTCAACTAACCCCAAATCTGTTTCTAGAATTTGCCATTCCATACCTCTTTCTATGAATCTTCTCCAGTTTGTCAATATCCTTCTTAAAACCATTCCCACAAAGAATCTAATATTACTAGTCAACATAATCTAGGACTTTTTAGGTATCATGTTTTAAGACCGCAGTAGTAGGAATATAACGATATTTATTGAGCTCAGTCTCTTGCTGTTTCTATTTCCCACCCATCACCCTCCAAGGCAGCCTGTTTGTTGTGTCATGAAGAGATCCATAATCCATAGTGAGTGATTTCATCAGTATAAAGAATGTCATCCCTCATCACCCTATCATTTCTGATTAGGATCACTCAGTGTAATGTACATTACATCTTGTAGCAGTGATGCCTGAGCGGTGCTTCATGTTCCTCATGCCTCTTTCTAGACGTTACCTCATTATGTGCCCAAATGAGAGAAGCACCCTCGAATAAAGAGGAAGATGAAACTGTGATTGTGTGGTTAAAGGCAGAGAGAAAATTGGAAATACGGCCCTTGAACAGAGCACTAAAGGGAAATCCTGCTTACTCATGTCCTCACCCTTGACATATTTGAAAGACAGAATTAACAACAACAGCAACATCATCAATACTAAGAACTGGAAACATATTAATAAATCTTAGCATGTACCAATCCCTCAAATCAAATTTAAGTCATAATATGCCATGAAATACACAAGACAAATTTCTGGAGTGGTTTGCACTGTTTTTTCCATTTTAGACATGAGACAATTAATAAAGGAGCCACGAGGTTTTACTGGCTGCCACTGAGTTAGCAGGTAGCACTGAAATTTGGACTTGGCTTGCTCAGTCTCTGTAGTCCTATACCACTATTGTCCCTTAGTGCATCCTGTCTGTACTGCTCATGGGCTGCTGTTGACTGGGGAAAAAAAGAACTCTTATGGAAATTACTTCTCCAAGTATACGCGATAGGGGCCATGTGGGATCATGTGCTGCTCTACCTATGGACCTAGAGGTGCCATTGGAGCATGCAGGAAAGGAGAGAGGAACACAAGAGGCGAGAGAGGCCACATGCCAAGCACAGTGTCAGCCCGCGAGCCTTGAACTGAGCTGAAATGTGTCTATGTAGCTTTTGTCAGTAACACATTTGGAACATAAACAAGATTTCAAGGTGACCGATCAGCCTAAGAAAACAGTGTTTTCAAGCACTTTTAATACCATTCAAGCAGTATTCACTTGTATATAAATCATGTGGTAATTTATTCATTAAAATACCCTGTAGTTGGCAACATTTTATTAGCCTTCGTTTATGTTAATAAGATCTGTACTTGTGACTTAATGCATCTCTGTATTGTGGCTCTGTAATTCTGATTTTCTTCCTACATAGAATAAGCATTAGCAATCCCCAACCTGCATCCTACATCCTAGGAAAATGAGATTAAATTAGAGAGTTGTAGAGTGGCTTTGGGAAGCCAAGGTCACACAGAGCCACCTTCTTCTGTACCCACATATGCACTAGAATCACTTGTGAGGGTTTTCAATGTACACGACAAGTGATTCCCATGTGCCTTGGCCATCTTCTGTAACACAGACAGAAGGATATCCCCAAGAAATGAGACTTTAAGACACTAGTTCATGAACCAACACTCAAAAGAGTGACCACACAATTTCTACCCAACACAAGCTTACTGCAACCATTAGAAAATATATCAAATGATCCATTGACACCCATAAATTTTATCAAGGAATTAAATTACTAAATGCCAACCTTCTGTTCTTTATCGTTCAGATTGGAGTAGGCACTTTAGGGTCCAGTTACTAAAAAGAGATCCTATGAATGAGCGCACAGAAATGAACAGTTCCTGTGACTTCTGGAAACAAGTTAAGGACCATCATATGGCTTTATCTGGCAGGGCCACATGATAAAAACTAAAATTCAAGATTTATTCCAGAAATCATTCTCAAAAGATTTGAAGAGTATTAAATTCCTGATTAATATCTGTCTGTTCCATTTGACACCCATGCAGACATTGTTAATCAATCAAAGCACTTTCCCTTGTTCTATCCAAAGTCCTTTTTAAAGAAGTACTCTAGGGCACTATCACTATTTGAATAGTTTTAATATACATAGAGCATATTTTCCCTTCTTTGGCTATGATAAGTACATAAGCTGAAATTACATCTTCTTCCAGCCTAATCCATCATAGGCAATGTGTTCCACAGAGTGCAGGCAGATACCAGAAGGTTCTCATGCAGACAAGACCCTGGAGCAGATCTCCCTGCTCTTGCTTATTTCACTTTGTATCTCTGAATGGGAGGAGTCAGAAATCAGTGAACATCTGAAGTGCTTGTGAGACATGTGTTACACTTCTACCATTAAAACCACTTAGTTTCTCTTCAGAACAATTCACTTCCACTTTGAGTAAATCCTGGGAGAGACAAGCTGAGTTCCAAAGTATGCTAAAAACCGAAGGGAGCATTATGTGCATGGTATATGCATTTGTACATGATAGTATGTATACACATATGTGGAAGCCAATCATCAACACCAACTATCTCCCTTTATCACTCTCACCTTATTTTTTGAGACAGGTTCCCAGTGAACCTGAAGCTCACTAATTTGGCTAGGCTGGCTAGCCAGTGAGCTCCAGAGAACCGCCTGTCTCCTTTACTGGGGACCGCCAAGTCCCCAGTGCTGGGATTACAGATGTGTGTGCAGTGCCATGCTTGGCCTACTTATACGGATACTGGGGATCCAAATTCAGTCGCCACACTTACACTGCAAAAGGTTTATACACTGAGCCATCTCCCCAGTCCCAAAAGGTAATATTTGTCTTAAAGAGTGTTATGTCAATCTGCTTAAATTCCACTGGTGGCACTGTATATTTCTCCACACAAATATTTAGTGTCCCGGTAAACATGACAGGGCAGAAATCAATCACAGGGATACTTGGTTTGCTGCTGGGTTTCATGGGCAAAGAAAATCATTATAATTCACTTATTTTGGGTTCTCCTGATGGTCATCCTTGGCCTCTACTGCCACCTCCCAGGCTTTACTGGGTAGAGTACCATACAAAATCACGTTTGGGGTGACACCTGGTTCATTAAGTTGATTTCATCATACTGACAGACCCTGTGATCAAATAATAAGATCAGAAAGGGCAGACTCACCTCATCATAGATGCTGTCATTCCTGCGGAAGTCTCCTGCCTTCCTGGGAAGGATGTGGACATGCACGTGCTACAAATGTAGAATAAAGAAAAAACTGTGCTTAGTTTCCCTTATATTTTTTGGCTTGACAGTCCTGCTCTCCTGAAAGTCAATTACTCTGCACTGGATCCTACTGGATTGTTTTTCAGAGGAAGGTGATGTTCACCTGCAGCAACTGTATATGAAATCTGCAGAGAACAGAGAAGCACAAAACAAGAGGGAACAACTTTATGGCAGATGGGAGTCTGAGTGAAATGTGGGAGTACGTCATAGGCTCTGAGGAATTCTTCATCCTTGTCGGACTTGGTCGTGCTTAGCCAATGCTTTGAAATGACACTGTGTCTTAAGAGATGGCTGTGTGACTCTGAAACTGACAGGAGACAAAAGTGGCCAACAGAGAATGGCATAAGGAGTTAATGAATGAGGGAGCAGGGGAAGTAGTATGGACGGCATTAAAGAACCAGGACTGAGTAACAATGAATCAATAGTAATATGGACAGTTCTCAATCATCTCTTATTTCCTATGATGAGCAAATACTTGATATTTAGTACTTGATAGTACTTCATTGAATACTCTTAAAGTTCTTTTCTAAAGTGATCTCCATTTTGAAGAGGAAGAAATCAATGCTCAGAGCAGTCAAGGCATGACAGGAAGTGATAAGAGTCAGGTCAGGACGTGATGTCACATGGCTGTTGTCCTTTGTTCTTCTACAGCAAACACACTGAGTCTGTGAAATTCATATTTCCTTTGGAAAAAAAAAGGAATTATATTTAGGGTGTGTGCGTGTGTGTGTGTATAAACCCACACTTGTGGAGGTCGGAGAAAAACCTGTGGGGGTCAGTTCTCTCCTTCTACTATGTGTGTCCCCAGGATTGAAATCAGGTTGTCAGGCTTGGTGGCAGGCACCTTTACCTGCTGAGCCATCTCGTTAGCCCAAGCTTAATATATAGCAGCTCATTTCCCTAGTCTACTAAAAACCCAGGTAATATGCGAGGCAGTGCTTTGTGCAGAGATCATGAGTCAAGACTCAGCATGTTTAATTCAATATATATTCTTCAAGGCTAAACTGATATTTGAAAGTTTTATGCTATCAATGGCATCTACTGTGTTACTGCTAAAAACCTACACCTATTCCTGCCCTTGAGCTATATTCCTGCATTTATTATGAACTATAGAGAATACAAAAATGAAAAGCCTAAATTCAGGAAGACAAGCAAAGACGCAAAGCACATTCTGATCACGCCCACCTCATCTTCATAAGTGTGGTTGGGCTGCGAACCTCCAGTGGCCCTCCAGAGAACACAAGATCAAGTGTCCCTGTGGCTTTATGAACAAGGAAGGGAGAAGCAGGGAACAAGGCTGTCCAAGGTGAATGAAGCAAAGTGGAGCTTCCCATCAGCCCCTGAGCACACAGTCCCCAAATAGCGACATGCTCCTCCTAAAATATCTCTAGTCAATGACGAAAGAGTCCCAATTCCCTTAGCAGCTGGGACATAGACATATTTAAGTCTCAGGCTATGTGAACGAGGAGAGAAAGGGATAAACAAACAAGGGAAGTCAATTACAAACTACCTAGGAACCAAATTCTTAAGAGCAAGCCATGCAACTCAGGTCCAGGAAGAAATAGCAAAGTGACTTAAAAATAAGACCCGGAAAGACAGGGGCAACAGCTCAAAACAGGGAGAGGGGCCGCCCAGCGTCCACTGCCAGATTCTGTCGCTATGCTTCCTTCTCCCTCTTTCCTTCCTCCTTCCCTCTTTTCTTCCAAAACGCTTTGCCGTTCCTTTCTTGTTTTCATCCATCTACCACCTGTTCCCATCATCGTCTTTAGAGTTGCAAGTAATCACAAGCTCGGGAGCAAGGCTCTGTCTCAAGCTGCCTGCTGTGTACATAAAAGCTTTTGACAAGAGAGTACAGTATGTACAGTCTAGCTGGACCTCCCATGTACTAGCTGTGTGACCTTGCCACAGCAGGCCTGTGCCTCAGCATCTTCCTCTTCAATGAGACTACAACATTCTGCCTCACTGGGCTCGGCTCGAGAATCAAATTTGCTAAGTACATGTTTGTCCTATACTTAGCACATAGTACCCAATATATACAGATGCAGTGGGATTATCTTTACTGTTAAAAATGTAGTCTGGAGGCTAAGCAGAGGGCATATTCAGTGACTGCTTTTCATATTAGCAGGAATGATATTTAAGATGCTCCTTGACTTGGGCATTATTAATTCATCTCTCCTGACAAAGTTTGTTTCTTTTCTTTTGATTAGTGGCTCTCAAACTTCTGTGTGTCACTAGGGATTATTAAGAAACAGATGGCCAGTGCCTCCTAATTTACTTACTTTTAAAAAAAAATTATTTTTTTATTTTATGTGTATTCGTATATTGCCTGCATGTAGGTAAGTGCGCCCATGTTGTGCAATGCCCGTGGAGGTCAGAAGAGGCTGTCGGATCCCTTGGAACTGAAGTTACAGACAGTTGTTAGCTGCCCTGTGGGTGCTGGGATTCAAACCCAGGTCTTCTGCAAGAACAGCCAGTGTTCTTAACCACTGAGCCATCTCTCCAGCCCCTAATTTACTTTCTAATAAGCTCCCAAGTGTGCTGGGCATTACTAGTAAAAGATCGTACTTTGAGAACCACTGGCTAAGATCATTCACAGTGTTTTCTCCTTGTTCTGCCCCACAAAATGCACCGATCTGGGCACTAAGGTCACTCCGTGTTTGGCCTGCCCTAATGCATTATCTAGACACTTATTTCCAAACACTTTCCTGCCTTCCTTCACTCCAGCTGCCCTCTGTGCTTGTCCTTAGAGTTAGTCAGTGACTCTTGGGTTTGGAACTATCCCGTCTTCCTTTCTCTAACCTTGTTCCTTTTCGTTCAGTAATCAGAACCGTATCTGGGAGCTGTTACCATCTACTCCTGGGAGCGCCACTCTTGATCACTGGCAACCATTTGAAACTCACCATGACACCAAAGACAGTAAACAGTTCACTGTCTAGGTGATTTTTCCCTAAAGGCATGATCTCAACAGTTCCTGAAACATGATATACTGACATAAATTCTTAAGTGACAGACTAATCATAAGATTCTGACAACCCACTCAGCCTCTCAGGACAGGAATCATGTCAAAGTCTTCTCAGGAAGAAAAGTAGGACTCAACTTATGAACACAAGAAGGCTTCATAACCAAGAAATGGTAAACTGCAACAGTCTCAAGAACAGGAAATTTCAGACGAGGGGATCATCAATACTGTTAAACACTGTTGATAAGTTGAGTTGATTTCAGGGAAGCTGGAAGGACAACATAGCAAAGCCGATGAGAAGATGTTCAGTGTCATCAGTTATTAGTGAAATACCAATCACAAGCACAGGGAGATACCACTTCACACTCACCAGGATGTCTCCAATCAAAAAGGCAGACAATCACAAGCACTGGTGGGAGGCAAACTGACATAGCCGCTGAGAAAACCAGATGCCAGTTCCTCAAAATGTTAAACGTCCAGTGACCAAATGGCTCCGAATTATATTTCTAGGATATACCCAAGAGAACGGAAACCATATAGGCACAAAAACTCATAATGCATATTTATAGCAATATTATTCACAATCATCAAAAAGTGGAAAGAATCCAAATTGACCATCAACTAATGAATAGCCTAACAGCAAGACAACACAGTATGATTGGGCATAAGAAGGAATGAAGTCACTAAGGGAAGGCATTATGCTAAGTGAAAGAATTCAGAAACAAATTGCTATATATTATATGATTCCATTTATGAAATGTCCAGACTAGGAGAATTCACAAAGAAAGAAGATTAGTGTTTCCCAGAACATGATGACGAGCGACTGCCATGGGGAGCAAGGGTTTGTTTGGGGCATGATGAATATTTTCTAGCATTACATTGCTGTTGGTCAAGCAACTTTGTAAATGCACTGAAAACCACTGAATTTTATATATTAATAGTGTAAATTGTATGGATTATAGCTCAATAAAGGGCTGATGTGAATGGGGGGGGAGAGAGAGAGCGCGCAAGAGAGAGAACTGGCGTCAGTTCCTCCACTCTGTCTCTTCATCCTGCCCATGCTATTTCTTCTACCTTTTTGCTCCCGTGTATCTCACCCATTCTTACCTGAGAGTGGATAGTGCACTCAGAATGATGTTCTTTTCCCTTGCTATACTACATTGTAATTCCGTTATAGGGAGTAAAATCGTGGTGAGGGAAAGTCAGGGATGGCTGCTAGGCTATCTTCCTTCACAAATGGCCACCTGCATCCCCAGTTAAGTGACCCTGTATGAACTCCTCTCCTCCACCCCTGCCCATAAACAACTATAGAAGGAAAATATAACTCTAAGGAATGATAAAATAACACTGTAGAGAACAGATAATGCTCCCCTCAAAAATGCCCAAATCCTAATCTCTGTTTTGTGAATATGGTAGGCTTTAGGACAACGGGGAATTAAGACTGCAAATGAATTAAGGTAGCTTTACACCTGTTTTGTTTTTTTTAAAAAAGACTTATGTATTATTTTATGTGTATGAGTATTCTGCCTGCATGTATGTAAGTTCATCATATGCATGAAGTGCCCTTGGAGACCAGAAGAATTTGTTGGATCACCAGGAACTGGAGTTAAAGATGGTTGTAACTTGCCATGTGGGTGCTGTGAACTGAACCTGGATCCTCTCTAAGAACAGCAAGAGCTCTTAACCACTGAGCAATCTCTGCAGCCCCCTTTACCACTTGATCTTAAAATTTAAAATGTACTTTAGGCAGGGCATAGTGGCACACACCTTTAATTCCAGCACTCGGGAGGCAGAGGCAGGCAGATCTCAGATAGAGGTCAGCCTGGTCTACATAGCGTGTTCCAGGACAGCTGGGGCTACAGGGAGACCACGTGGCAAAAAGACAAAAAATACGTATCTCAGATACGTATTTGGCCCAATGTAATCACAAGGGACCTTCAAAGTGGAAGTCTGTGAATGAAACAGAAGGACCTTCTTCACTTCCTCATACCTGATTGACCAGAACAGC